TATGGGGTTGAGTATTGTTGGCACCACACTGTATCATCATAAGATAGATAAAAGGCAAAAGAAGAGGGCTCTCAGAGCATTAGATAAAATTCATGATTATAAGATTCTTCACAATGATATTCGTGAGGAAAATATCCTTATTGACGAAAAAGGATATGTGTATTTGACCGATTTTGGAATGTCAATTCGAAATGATGATAAAGAGTTATTTAATAAAGAGAAGTATGAGTTATCCTGTTTATTAGACTGCTATATGTGATTAATATTTACTATGCGAAATTCACAAAATATCTTAAGTTAGCTATTTTAATATTATTGTAAATACGATTATTAATAAAGTAATATCTATTTGCTATATCAAAAAAAATAAACGTGAGACGTGTCACCTTATATGATTGCTAAATTCTCGAAAATTATTTGCAGAATCAATTAGAGTTAGGACACATGACCTTGATCGTACAGTTTGAGTTGTTACAGTTTAAAAAAAAGTGGGGATTTGGGAGTATATATAAGAAATCTACTATCACACAAATAGTCAGACAATCAATAATTACATCATCACATGAATTGACTGAATCACGATATATTAAAAATATTAAAAATTCAATTCCAGAAATGTTGACGAAAATTTATTCAGATACAGTAATATTAATGGCAAATATGGAGTAGTAAGCGAAATGTATAATGCTATCAAAGAGGGAGGGAGTATGCAGATCCTAGGCCATTTAATGCGAGTCCCAGCATCAAGTTATTTCTTTGATATCTCACTAATTTCTATAGCTAATTTATTTCTATTACTATAGCTACTAACTATGAGATTCTCAGCTTTTTCAACACTAGATTCCCAAAATAAATTATCCCGCCCATATCTATAGAATTTTTGACTAATTATATATCTTCCACCCACACAGACTATGTAAAATAATATTTCCCGCAAGAGAACTTTCTCGATATTGAGTAATTTTGAAACTATAGCACAAATTTGGAAATTAGTAACTGGTAAAAAAAATAAGCAATGCAGTATTTAGTAAAGTGTCTTTTGATCCGATTCATACTTACTGCTATGATTCATAATATTCCATTCCATCTTACTTAATACGTTATAATAAAAGTATTTTGATTTTTTTATTGCAAGGTGTACGATACTGTGCCAAATTCCTGCTCATTCATGATTGGATAATTCATTATTTATCACCAATACTGTTTTTTCAAGTTTGGCGACTTGTGATTTTGCCAGAGCTGGAGATAAATATTTGCGTAAAAATATAATTACCACTGCAAAGATTATATATATTATGGCATTTCCTGAAAAAGCACCTTGGAGTATCTCTATTGTTATAACACCTTGGGTTAGCATCTTATAGATTATAATTATGATGCTGAAGAGTATGATCAAAAATATATCAGAGTTTTTGTTAGAGTTTTTGAAAGTATGCGCAGAATTTTGTTTCGATTGTAAATGTGTGAAAGCTATTTGGCTTGATTTTTTTCTTACTAGAAACTGTTCTCCTCCAATATACACAGTTTTTATAATTAAGACCCTTCCGCAGTTAAGAGCTATGATCGTTGCAAAACATGAAAGTTTCTGGATCTTCACTAACGATCTTACAGTCTAATGCTGGCCAATCCTGAGTTGTAAATTAACCTGTATTAGAATGCACTATTAGCGGGTGATCAGTCAAAGGTGTTTCGCCAAAAATTTAGCATATATATATTTACTGGACAAATAACACACAGGTGATTTATGAAGTTTTTTATTTGCGATATATTAGATTTTAGACTAGGAACATAGCCCAGATACATGGTTACATTTTTCGCGATGTATGAAATAAATTACAAATGAATGGGGGCTTCTTCTGAGTGTATTAATATAAAGGTTTCAATTACTGTGCCAGATGATCGTTACGAAAAAATAATATTAATAATGAGCACCTGACTTCAGATAATCACTCAGCTCTAGATAATCAAACACGCCTACAACCCTGTCTTATTTTATATTTTTGACAGTGATAAAGCCAGTTGCCCTATAATATGTGTGATTATACTTGGCTGGATTACATAATGGCAAATTTCAGCGGTCTAAAAACGTGTGTTTTCTTTGAGGGATTAGACCACTTGGTTTTTTTTGATTTATAGCATTTGACTTTCATTTCTTCAGACGAATAGCACTCAGATGCAACTAACTTCTCCACTTCAGACTCGGATGAATCTGTTAGTTCTTTGCCAGCCTCTAGGCCAGTTTGTTCTTCTACATAATTTTCAATCCAGTCTACAGTTCGTTCTAGCTTTTTAACCTTCTTTTTAAGCTCGAATGAATTGGACTCAGATGAATCAGAATCATCTGTTTCTAAATAATAATATTCCTTATTTTTTGGATACTTAGAAAGGTCAAATTTTACATAAGCCATTTTGAGTGTTATGTTTTATAACTGAATATTTATTTATTGGACCAGAAAAAAACTCTCTCAAATAAAATTTCGTTTATCTCAACTTTCCTGATACTAATCCGACAAGCTATTCCTCTTCATATATAAGGTTTATTTTTGGGTATAAGTTTTGGAAAATGTTTAATATATCCGTTCTTAAACTAGGTGTCAGTCCTGGAATTTTTAAAAATATTTTCAGGCTTAAGCATCTAAAACCTCTTATCGTGAGTCTTTTTAAATTGGGAGACTCAGCTAGAAGCGCTTTTAGATTTTTATTGTTAAGTATATATAACCTGCTATTTTTAAAACTTAGCCATTGTAAATTAAGGTATATCTTGCACACTTCAGAAATGTATACATCTGGCTCTATATTTATTTCTCCAATAAATTTTAAACTTAGCATTTGTGAACATGCATCTGACTTCATATCTTTGATTAATGCCTTTGTAAACTTAATACTGAAAATGCCTATTAGGACTATTTTTGTTATATTAGTCTTCTAGCTATATAATACCATTACTTATTAACTAATAAAAGAGGATGTAATTTCTCACCTCCATTTTTTCTATGATATTGAAAAATTCTATCAAGAATCTTATTTGGCATTAAGGTTATATAACGGATGGTTAATTTTTTTGAGTTTGTGGATATGGCTGGAAGGATCCCTTTAGGATCAGTCCACTCTAGTCACATCACATTCTTTATCGATATGACACCTATTTTTACGATTTTTAGATCTCTCTACCTACCTTCATATTCATATCCAAGCATCTGGTCAGTAGCTTTACCCAAGATAATATACCAATCTGTATGGATTTGCTTTACACGTTCTTCTAGAGGTCTAATTTTTTCTGATATAATTTTACGTTCCTTTGCTTAAATAAAGGTGTCATACGCTAATGTGGTCCTTGACTTTATCTATCTGAATATAATCATCCCCAAAGTGATACTAGCATATGCTTAGCAACTTTACCTGCCTGTCCACCTTCATGCTTGATTTCTGTAAGATTTCTTGCCCATTGATAGAAAATAGCATGTCTACTCATGAGTTTAGTTTGCTCAAATATAAAAGCATTAAAACTTTTGGAAGATAACTCTATATGAAGATCTAGATCTATTGCTGTTATCAAATTATAGTGAGTGTAATATCCTGCAGGAGTATAGTGAAATCCTCTTATACAATTTTGATCTGCTAGCTGATCTCTTATGAAAGCACAATAAATTTTATATTTCAAACTATAGCCAATATATTCCGTGCTAATATGTGAGATTATTCTAAACTCACTTGATCCTATTGGCCAGTCTGCATTATCACTAGCTAATATATCCAGGTAAAATTCATTATAATCCAATTTAGTCGCAATTCCTTCATATGGCTTTGCCTATGTTAGTCCTCCTATGTAAGCTGATTTTATTCAATGGTCCTCTTCTAGTGATAAGTTTTCAGCTTTTCTAGCATCTCTAGCAACATCTTGAAAGTAATGCAAACTTATTAATACATAAGTTCCTATTTTTCGCAGGTCTATCTATTCACCACTTTTTCAAAATATTGCATTAGCTTCTTCATTATAACATTTATGAGCCCCCTAAAGTGTTTTTTTCGGGTTAGCTTTAATTAAAAACCAGTTTCTTGATAAATCATGGAAATCATTTTTAGAGCCAATCCATTGTATACTCCCATCATAGAACTTAATATCCTTACCTTGCTTCCTTCAGAATAGAAACCTTTGAATTGTTGAATACCATCTTATATTTGTATTTTGGCAAGCTAAAGTGATCTCATATTCGCTCTTCTCATCTGACTCCACCTCTAGCTCTTCTTCTGGTTTAGAAAGTTCGGCTGTCTCAGGTGGTACTAGTGTCAGATCTTTTTAGCTTAGCAAAAAATTTCTGAATAATCGTCTTAATACGCTAATGATACTACTAAGTAATCCACTCATATTTTCCTAAAGATTATATATGGTTACAAAAAGTTTAAAATAAAAATTAATTTATTCAGATAATTAGAGTTACATATTTATTCAAAAAGAAGAGATTATTAGAATGAGATTTTATAATTATCCATATATTCTTAGAACTGAAGAAGTATGCAATGAGAGATGCTATCAGGTAAAAGGATGTAAAGTCCATTAGAAATCTCTTAGACAAATTCTGTATATAGAATGCAGAAAATTAAATATCACATTCGAGATTTTTATCAGTATCAAAAGCTTGCAAAAATTCAGGCTAATGATGGGTTGGTGATGGGCTAGTGCTGAGGAAGTTTTGGAAATGTTCTAAAAACCCAATATGTATGCATTTTTATCACATAATTTTTTTCAAGTTTTGTGTATATACTTCACACCTTCAGTGTTCTGCAACTCTGTGAATATCATTTGTTTCCTATTTTATCTTATATAATAGCATACATTAAAAGGATAATGTATGAGTCAAAAAAATATAGCATCTACATTTGCTTCGCCTTAATGGACTTGCTCATATTCCTGCTATATTTTTTTTTCTAGCAAGTTACTACCATTATAGTATGTTATTAGAAGGTTATAAGAGGATATATAATATTACTAAAGCTTTAAACAGTTCAGATTAATCTGAAAATTTTCAGTTCAGATCAACTTCAGTTCAGTTTCGAATTGCAAAAAATTCAATCCAAAAATTTTCAGTTCAGTTCGGATTTTTTTTAGATTATAAATTTAATCTGAACTGAAAAAAATCTGAACTGAACTGAAAATTTCAGATTAATCTAAAATTTTAAATCGTTTCAATCGAACGATTCTTTTATCATTCATTTGAAATGATAATTTTATTATTCTAAATGAACGATTCTTTTATTATT